CTTTAGAGTTGTGGTAAAATGCTCCATCTTTTCGCAACCACCTGAAGGTTATATCCCTACAAGAATTGTGTGATGGAAACTAACTCATTCTCATTTATCTACCTAACACATTTGCAAATTTTGCGTTGGTTAAAAAGATACCATTAAATAAAGCCATAAGTTGGAGGAAGACGGAAGATCACATGAACACAAATGTTTACATCAGATTTTTCACACTGCCCTTTAGAATTTGACAGAAACTTGTAGGTAGCCAGTGACAGAAATCTCTATCAGTCTTGCCACTCAAATGATTTGTCAAATGATACTCACTGTTCTTGCAGGGATGTTTCCCATCTAATGCGCCTAAACAATTTGGAAATTGCCATCGTATAGCAAATTCATTTGTTATGGACTCCCACTCCGAAGAGCTGTTTGGAAACTAAAAAAGGAGAATTTCGTACAAGTTCATAAAAAGTACGAACTAAAAATGTTTACCTTCAAAAATATGCCTTTCAGTCTAGCCCAAATAGCGTCACATACATCCGGAATTATTCCACTAATAGCAGCCTTTGATATTTTCGAATGAAAATTCAAGCTCTGAAATGTTTCCCCTGTAAAAGTAAGTGCTTTTAGCCTCATTCCATTCCTGGCTACGCAAGTTTTAATGCTACAAATTTTTTACATATTTCATTGCATATATAAGTTTGTATTGAAGTTCACCTGTTGCAAGAAACCGCAGTGTCAAAGACAGTTTTTCAGCTGGAGAAATTGCGGACCGCATTATGGTATCTTGCTTTCTGAAGTCTTCCTTAATGAATGAAAGCAGGAAATTAAATTGGGTCTCAGTCATTCGCAAATAATTTTTATAGCTAGCTTTGTCCGATATCAATAGCTCTTTTGTTAAGAATGCGAATGATCCTTTTTCCGACTTCGCTTTCCTCCACACCTTTGTCCATTCACGATTTTTTTTCCTTATAGGCACCTTTGCCATTTTTTCACACATATCGATTAGTCCTGGAGTTTAAAAAATACCTTTAATTTAGTGTTCAATTTCCAATCTACAATCTCAGTACAAACCTTTACTTATGTCCTCCCTTTCGCTATCATCCGAATCAATCTCGACGGCTTCCTCGATGCACTCAAAAATATCTTGCATTCATTCAATTTTATCTTGGTACTCCATTTTCCATTATATATATATATAGACTGCATCACCAAAAAAAGTTGCGGGTTTTCCGTCGGGATTACAAAATGTATTATATTTTAAGACGTCCACTAAAATATTTCGGAAAAATATTAAGATTTAAGCGAGCTGGGCCGATTTAAAATTACCTCCACAAATTAAGTTTTTTATGAATAAAAATAGTTTCTTAAAGAACTTTTTGAAAAAAGTCCCCTCAGATGACAAATTAGAATAAGCTTAAAAAATCTGCATAAAAATATTTAAAAATCTTTTCAACGGAATCGTCAGAATGAGATTTTTGATGCTGTTTTTTTTTTACTTTTTTCAAAGATTGATTTACGAAAAAATTGAATAACTGGGCCAAAACTGTTCTGATTTAGACTTATGGGATCTCAGTAGAAAGGTATTTTCACACCGTTTTTATTTCTGGCCAAAAGAAACGTCATTCGTGTCCCATCTTTTTTTTCGAATACCAAAACATCTTAATTCAACTTTGAATGAGGTTCGTTTCTCCTACCTTTCTCTTCCATCCTTTGAATAAGTTTATTAGCAAATAAATGAAAAGTGTGAGAAAATACCTTTCCAATGACACCTCTTAAGTCTAAATCGGAAGAGTTTAGGTTCAGTTATTCAAGTTTTTCTTATACCAATCTTTGAAAAATGTTAAAAACAGCATCATTATTACGATTCCGTTAAATTTTTTTTAAATTTTTTTTTTAATATTTTTATGCAAATATTTTAAGCTTAAACCGTTTTGTCATTTGAGGGGATTTTTTCAAAAAAAAATCTTTAAGAAACTATTTTTATTCATAAAAAAAAACCATTTTTGGAGGTATTTTCAAATCGGTTCAGCTCACTTAAATCTTAATATTTTTCCGAAATATTTTAGTGGACGTCTTAAAATGTAGTAGATTTTATAATTCCAATGGAAAAATAGTACCGATTAGTTTTTGTATGGGGAGTGATGCAGTCTAACCTACATATATATGTTATATTGAGTACTAAAACGCAAATGGTATTTCGTAAGAGATAAAGTCAATGTTTGGTTAACCTTTCGTTATAAAAACTAACTTCCAGAACATGTTACCCTTATACCAATTAAAAGAAATATGTGGATTATTACCCTGCAAAAAATGCGACTAATCCGGGATGATTCCGGGAGCAATCGCAAAGGAACATGCGACTAATACCACATTTGATCTCTTTATATGGACTGAACTGTTTTCTTTTGTTCGAGCATGTCCTATGAAGAGACTAATTGTTCACCTTTATACCCGAACGGGTATAAAAAGCGACTATTCACTTTTAAAAAATAAAAATAAAAATTTGCGCCAGCTGAGATTCGAACCGGGGCGCTCAGTTTTGTTAGGCGAATACTCTCTCTGTGTGCCAACGACACATATGAAATTTCATTTACTAAGTGCGTACATATCATTAAATCGTTAATAGTACCCGTTAGAGATGAGTCGGGGACTAATTGATCTCCAATTATACCCATAAGGGATGAGTCGAGACTAATTAACCTCCATTAGTACCCGAAAGAGACTAGCTGGGACTAATTAATGCCCAATTGTACCCGATTGAGAGTAATCTCGGAATACTCTCTTTAGAGATTAGTCGCACTATTTTTTGCAGGGTAGTTACGTATCAATTGGATTGTATGCGTGTACACAAGGGTCAAGAGATGAGCATTCAGCCCAATACAATTGAACTTCCACGTGCTGCATTTCTAAATCACAACTAAACAAGTAACTCATAAACCTGATGCAGTATACTTAATATGATAGTAGGAGGTGTCTCATTAATTTACTGTAGCTATGCAGCTGCTCCTACGGATCATCATCATGTGGTGGAAAATAGGCAATGAACATAACAAATATGTAATTGACAAAAAATAATTTGATGAGAGACTTACATTAAACTCCCCCTTCTGTCGACAGCATCACGATGAAGCGCTCCATGCATGTTGTTGTTGTACAGGCACTCTTTAGGAAAATGTGCTTTCGATTGCTGAAATTCTCAAAACCGGTTATTTGCCTATTTTCTTCACACGCTCTCGTACTACTTAATTCAGCCCACGGCATACATACGTATGCACATATACATATATGTGCGTATGTATGAAGGTATGATTTGGGGTGTTCACAGTTCGTTCCAAATTGTGTCTGAAAATGTAGACGTCTACATTTTGAGACATCTTTAGCATCAAACTGTGAGCACCCCTTTCTAGCAGTCGTCGCAAAATCGTCTCAAAACTTTGCTGGTGTTGCCAGACATTTCTTCCTTGCGTGCATTTTTTATATGTCGCCTTTCGATTTTGTTTCTGAAAAATTTTAATTATTTAACTTAATTACCAATTCGTAATATTTGTTATTTCTTTTCCTTGATTTGTTTCTTTTCATCAGAAATTGCGCTCAAATTAAATGCAAATACAGAAAACGTGCCCAATAAATAAAAAAAATGTGATAAGTATTGCCATAATGCAACCCTGCTGCGAGGTCGCAAAATGTAGACGCGTAAAAAAACATACCTTTGAGTGTGACAAAATGTAGACGGCGTCGTTTTCCAATTTTGTATGGGAAACAACAACACCACAGATTTTACGGTTAGAAAACGTCTTAAAATGTAGACGTCTACATTTTGAGACGCTATTTGGAACGAACTGTGAACACCCCAAATGTAACAAATTAGGTATGCATACGAATGGAAAACAAAACTAGTATTCAACCAAAAGAATGAGGAATTATTAAACTTAATTATGACTTGTTAACAGTGCTGTTAAGCAACATATAAGGTACAGTACTGTTAAGGTCTTTAGCGGTATTCACTTGGGTTTTTTTTTTAGTTAATTTGCGAAATCTCTAATTGTTAAATGTTTACCGAATTTTTACTTTTTTTTTTCTCGGTGTTGACTGTAATTGACCAATCTATACGCATGTAGCTTTTAGTTGCCTTTTTTCCTATCCGTATATGTAGGTCTATACGTTTTAACGGAGCGCACTCTTTTCACATACATTAAGGCAGTATTACTTA